TGGAAGGCTACTCTAGCTAAGGTTGGAATTACTCTTGATTTTTCCTAAGATTCTGAGCTGGTGTTACCCTGGTAGAAAGTCTCCTTACTAGCATAAGAAGCTTAAGAAGAATCTGAGGAGGAAGAGAATCCTGAAGAGATGGAGACTGCTCAAGGTGAAGATGATCCGAAGGTTTCTGCCTAAGCTAGTGATGTTGAAATTCCTCCTCCCGAGTCTCAAAAGAACACATTATCTAATGTTCCATCCCTTCCTCCTGCTACATAAATTCTTGCCCTTGTTGAAGGTGGCAATACTAGAGCCATTTCTTCAGAAGCTATTGAAGTTGGTGCTGCCCCACCCCCTTTTGTGACAAAAGATTACGAACGCTAGTTTTTCTTTTTGTTTTTTCTTCTCTCTTTTTCTTTTGCTTCTTTGTTTTTTTTTAAAAAAAAGTATTTTGACCGAGCCCAAGTACCTTTGTAAGGCTCAGTCTCTTTGATGTAGTACTCTTGGGAACCACAGTTTATAAACAATAGTTTCTATGTTTTGCCAAAGTACTTGTCGTTTTATTGCATGAATGTTCTAGGCATAACTAGGTATGTGACACCCTGCTTGCTCCTCTAGATTGGTTGATTTGATAAAATAAAATCAATCAAGCTAAAGTCCTGTCTGTTTTGCTCTGAAGATAAATGCTATATGTCAATCCTGAGCAGGATTGTTCGCTTAAGGATAGAAACTAACCTATAGTCCCTAACAAGGATATTTATGTTCCTAGGCTTAAGAAATTTTCAAAAATCCAATAATATTGCTACAATCCCTAGTAAGATTCGTTTCTTATTCTGAATACAAATCCAATCTACACCCCTGGGTAGGAATGTCTAACCTTTTGGACTTAAAGAAATTTTCAAAAAATGTCTTCATGGCCAAGAGTATTACTATAATTCAGAACTGAATTTGTCCACTTTTTTGTTTCAGAAATCCAACTACATTCTTGAATTGAAACAATTTTTTGGAAAATTTGCCTTAGTGCAAAAACATTGCCACGATCCAGAGCAGGATCAAATCCTGAGCTGGATAGTCCATTGTTCTTGTACTTAAGCAATCACTGTAAATTGTTCTTAAGCAAAGAACCAACCAATACTACAATTTTTGAATAAAAAATTGTCATTAAAAACTTCTAAACTACATATTTACAAATTGTTAAATACTTAATGAAAGTAAATTCTAAGGTTTACAATATTCTAAGGGCGAGGCATAGCTTTGCCTTCTATGTCTTCCAAATAGTAAGCTCCATTGCCTCCCAACAAAACAATTTTGTATGGTCCTTCCTAATTAGGGCCCAGCTTTTTATCAGTTGGCTTTTTCTGACTGCGATACTCTCCGTAGGACTATATTTCTAGGTTGGAATTCTCTGGAATGGACTTTCTTGTTATATCCCTTTGAGAACTGCTTTTGATAATTTTCCATTCTGACCAGGGCTGCTACTCTTCACACTTCAATCAAATCCAGATTTCAGGCTAAGGCCTGTTCATTTTGTAGCTCTTTATAAATTTTTGATCGCATTGTGGGCAATCCTACTTCCAATGGGATCACAACTTTTGTCCCAAATGCTAATGCATAAGGCGTTTCACTTGTTACTTTTCTGGGGGTTGTGCGATATACCCAAAGAATGTTAGGTAGCTCATCCACCCACTTTCCCTTCAGCCTTTCCAGGTGCTTCTTCATTTCATCTAACACAATCTTATTGGAAGTTTTAGCCTGGTCGTTGCTTTGAGAATAACAAGGTGTTGAGAAGAATTTTTTTATTCCTAATCCTGAGCAATAATTCTTGAAGATGATGCAGTCAAACTACGTGCCATTATCATAAATGAATGTGTGCGGAATGCCAAACCTGGTTATGATGCTGCGCCATGCAAATTTTTTTTTATATGTTTGTCCTTAATTGTGATCAATGGTTCAGCCTTTGCCCACTTAGTAAAATAGTCCATTGCCACTAGTAGAAACTTCTTGCCTCCTTTGCCCTTTGGGAGTGGAGCTATCAAGTCCATACATCACTGGGTAAAGGACCAAGGGCTAGTTAGGTCGTGAAGATCCACCGTTGGTTGGTGAATCAATGGGGAGAAATGTTGGCACTTGTCACATTTCTAGACATACGCCTGATCATCCTTGTGCATGAATGGCCACTAGTAGCCCTGAGTTATTGCTTGTTTTGCTAAGGGCCACTCGCCAATGTGCATTTCGTAGATTCCCTCATGCAATTCATAGAGAATATTTTCCACCAAGTTTGGATGAACATAAAATAGGTAGAGGCCTGTAAAGGATTTCCTAAATAGGGCTCCCTTTTCTAGAATCTAGAACCTAGGTTCTCTCCTTTTAATCTTGTTAGCTTCTTTTTTATTTGGGAGTACTCATTCCCTAATATACTGGATGATTGGGTCCATCTAGCTTGGACCATAATTGGTGCATAGAACTCTATGATGATGTTGTTCTATCTTTGGCATGATGCTGGACTGAGGCAGGAATTCAATTGCGATTGTTCTGGTCTCTACTTTTTCCATGGTTGAGGCCAGAGTGGCCAGCGCATTAGCGTGAGTATTTTGCTCTTTTCCAATCTAGATAATTTTGAATTTCTCAAATGACTTGAGTGAATCCTAAACTTTATTTAGGTAAGCATGTATCTTGTCATCTCTGGCTGTGTACTCACCAGTGAACTGATTGACCACTAATTGGGAATCACAATGTACTATAAGATCTTGAACGTCTAGAAGTATTGCAATCTTTAGCCCCACGAAGAGAGCCTCATATTCTGCTTCATTATTCGAGGCTTTGAATCCAAGGCATATTGCCTGCTCGTGCAAGATGCATTCAAGGAAGAGCAAGGCCACTCCTACTCCTGCTCCTACCCCTGCCCCTTTCAAGTTCAACAAGTCATCTATGAAGAGTTTTCAACTTTTCAGATTCCTTACGTATAGTCTCCATGTTGAGCTATTTTTTTGGGCTCGATGTTCATGCTACACAGTCTCTTTTATGCTAGATTATTGTGCTAACATTAACTTTGGTTCCTACCTTTTCAATCGCACTTCCTAGACTGCATCCTATTTCCCTTCTAGTTATGTAGTCCTACAGAAGTTGGTTAGTTAGTTGAGAACTCTGCCACAAAGTCAGCCAGAACTTGGGCGTTGATGGCAGTTCTGGGCTGAAAAGTAACATCAAATTCTCGCAATTCTACTGTCCAGTTGGCAATGCGTCTAGAAAAGTCAGCCTTTTGAAAAAGGCTACGTAGAGGATATTGGGTCAACACCGTGATGGGATGGCCTTGAAAGTAATGCATAAGCTTTCTAGCAGTCATCATCAGGGCTAGTGCTAGCTTATTCAAGGGTAAATACTTGCTTTTTGCACTGTTAAGAGTCTTGTTGGTATAATATACTGGCACTTGGTTACTTTCCATGTTTCTGACCAGGACCGAGCTCACTGCGTAGTCTAACACTGTTAAGTATAAGTATAGCCTTTCTCTTCGTTGTGGGGTTGAAAGTAGAGGAGGTGAAATGAGGTACTATTTTAACTCCTCTGGCGCTTGGTTGCACTATTTATTCCAGTCCACTCCTCATCCCTTCTTGAGGAATTGAAAGATGGTTTATTTGAGGAGTGGCTGATGAAATGGTTAAGTGCTGCTACCATCCAGTTAACCTCTATACCTCCTTAAGCTTGTGAGGTGGCTGTAAGGTAAGGATTGCTTTCACTTGCTGAATGTTTGCTTTAATCCCTCTCCTTGTCACTAAGTAGCCAAGAAACTTTCTTGATTCAATGCCAAAGGCACATTTGGCGGCATTTAGTTTCAATTTATAAGCCTTAAGAATATTGAATGTAGTTTCTAGATCACTTAAGTGTCCTGATTTTTGTTTGCTTTTCACAACCATATCATCAATATAAATTTCCATGGTCTTTCTAATCTAGTTAGAGAACATAGTAGTGACTAGCCGCTGATAAGTGGCTCTAGCATTTTTGAACCCAAAGGGCATCACCCTGTAGCAATACAACCCTCTAGGGGTTATAAAGGCAATCTTTTCCTAGTCTGGCTCGTGCATTACTATTTGGTGATAGCCTCTGTAAGCATCTAAGAAGCTCATCCTAGTGTATCCAGAAGTTGTATCCACTAATTAATTCTTGGTAAGGGGAAGCAATCTTTAGGACAGGCTCTGTTAAGGCTTCTGAAATCTACACATGCCCTTCACTTTCCATTTTTTTTTCTTGACAACAACAGTGTTTAACAACCAAGTGGGGCAGTGCACTTCTTTAATTGCCTTTTCATCTAGGAGTCTTTCAACTTCCTTCACCACTACCTTAACATGATCTATGTGTCATCGTCTACTTTTTTGTACTACTGGTTTATGTGCAAGATCAACGTTGAGATGGTGGTTGATAATATTAGGGTCTACCCCTAGCATCTCATAAGGTGTCCAAGAAAAGACGTCAATATTATCCATTAAATTTTATTTTTATTTTATTTTTTTATCCTACTCAAATAAGGAAGATCTGAGGAAGACGTACCTTTTCAGATCATTGGGTGAGATTTCGATTTTCTATAGCTCCTCTATTATTGGCTCTTCTGGCTCCTTTCCCATGTCTTCTAGGACCTCTTTGAATCTGGAACCTCAATTGAGCAAACCTAGTTTTGAGTTAATTTGACTTCTTTCTGTCCTAAGGCTAACATTAAGTAGCGTCATGAAGACAATTGGTCTCCCTATATTGTTTCAATCTTCCTCTCTCTGTTGAGGAATTTTAGAGCCTGATGAAATGTGGAGGGGATTGCTTTAAGTTGATGCAGCCATGGCCTGCCCATGATGGCGTTGTAGGGTGAAGGTACATCCACAACCAAGAAGCAGAGTTCAAAACTTACAGAGCCTACCCTGACTGGTAGCGTTAAATGTGATTTGAGTTGAAGCCCATAAGTGGTGAGTCAACCCTTTTGAGATCCTGATCTTTGAGACCCAGACTTTGATAATGTCTGTAGTACATAATTTTTATTGCGCTTTTTTATCTACCAATATCCTTTCCACTCCGAGCCCATCGAGATCCAGTTTAATAATTAGAGCATCTGAGTGCGGTTGGACTAACCATTGCGTATCTTCTTCTGAAAATGAAATTACTTGACCCCTAGCGCTAGATTCAACCTTTGGCCTCTTATGCCTTGAACAGTATTCTGCTTTGTAGACTTCCCTGACATGTGCTTCTTTTTGCATCTCTTCTCTAGTTGGTTCTATTCGATCTAGATGCACAACTCCATGGACGACATGGATTATCCCCCTAAGGTGCTCTGTCGTCGCTTGATTCTCCTCCTGTTGGCCATTCTGCCCATTTTGCTGCTGTTCTCCTAAAACATTATTTAGGCGTCTAGCAACTGCCAATTCATCTAGGTATTTTTTGTACGAGAAATAGTCCTCTGTTTTGTGCCCCACATCATTATGGTAGCCAGATTTTGCCTTTTGGTTCCTAATTTTCAGATATCCCTTCATTTTGGCTGGCTACTTGAACCAAGGCTTGTTCTTGATTTCTAGAAGTATCTGCCAAATTGGAAGTCTAAACAAGGTCTGAATGACGTATTTTGAATCTTTTTTCCTAGTGGCCTTAACTTCTTTTGTTTCTCTTGATTTTTGGAAGTATCTGCCAAATTGGAAGTCTGACCACGGTCTGAATGACGTATTTTGCATCTTTTTTCCCAGTGGCCTTAACTTCTTTTGTTTCATTGCATTGAGTAATAGTTTTATGTGTACTTGTTTGCGTATTTCCCTATCCTACGAACTTCTGATCCTCATTTAGCTTATCGTATCAGTCAATTCTGAATTACAGGTCCGCTATAGTCTTGGGTAGAGTCTTAGTTAACAGTTGCCACAACTTGTCTTCTGGCAGGAGTCCTTGTCTGAAAGTCGAGATTGCCACCTTATTTGAGCAATCCTCCGCTATCTCATGAAATGTCTCCCAATAAAACTAGGCATACTGCTTGATAGTCTGGTCTGACATTTTCTTTAATGCTACAAAGGTGTCCAATCCTTTTGCTCTTTTGCTGTTTGCTACAAACCGTTCAGTGAACTTGTCTACCAACTACTTCCAGCTGTCGATTGATGCCACTAGAATTTTTTCATACCAAGCACAAACAGTTCTACCCAGACTAGATTTTGGGCTTTTCATACCATGTGCTTCATTTTCGTTCTAGAGTGCCATAGCATGGCGATAATGGCGTAAGTGGTCTAAGGGATCTGACCACCTGTCATACAGCTCAAACTTTGGGATACTAAAATTTTTTGGCGACTTCGTTGAGGAGATCCTCTTAATGAATGGTGACACTAGCAGGACAGGTTGCCTATCGGTCGCCTGAAAGCAATCCCCTCGGAGGGCTTCCGAATTGGATTCTGGGCTTTTGGATCTAGGTAGGTGACCTCCCTAGTTTGTTGTGTAGCCGCCCTCCGTGGGGCCTTATGGCAAGTGGCCTTTTACCTTGCATCCTTGTGGCTCGACCTACTACGTGGGTTGGTTTCTCATGATATTTCTACAATCGGTCTACAGTACAGCCTGGTCTGGTCCTAGGCTGTCCTCTCTTGTTTCCTAGTATTGATAAATGCCCTCATATCCTCTATGAGAAAGTCAAAGCTCTGGGTTAGGCCCGACTTCGTAGGGCATTTTCCTCATCCTACATCCCTCCTACGCAAAAAGGACCGTACGTTGTCTGAACAAGCGTAGTCCTCAGTTTGATTCTCTTCGTTGGAGAAGAATTGGTGGCATTCTTCAGGGCGAGGCAAACTACTAGCTACATGGCTGGTCTTGCTTACCTTAGGCATAGATCTTAGATTTACCTCCGCGCTCTACCTTTCCTTGGACCGTTGAGAGAACTTTTTCCTAAGGGGGCGCGAGCCTCCTTCATCCAGCTTTTGGAGCGTTGATGGTTGGTTTTAGGACTGTTTCAAGGTTTTGACTTGGTCAGCGAGTTCCTTAAGTTGCTGGTTCATGATGCTTATGGTTTGGTCATGACTGGTCAACTCTTGGGCCCAATTATTACTTTCGGAGCTTTCAATAGTGAACAAATCCTTTTCTTCTTGCTCGCGACACTCCTGTGATGCACCGATGTTCAAAGGACATCTTCGTTGGCTTAGAAAACGATTTCCATCATGTTTGTCTTCAATAAGTAGGTTAGCGTCTTCCACTACCATATATGCGTTGAAGTATTAGTAGGTGGAGCAAAGCTTTTCACTGTAGATTTCCCACAGATGTCACCAAATTATGGTGGGTAAAAATTGAAACACTTAGCTGCGGCGGAGTTAGGACAATGGTGCTTTACTTTAGACCTAAAAAGCACTTACAAAGAAGGTAAAGTGGTTGGCTAGAGCAACCTGGGGACACTCCAATGCCTAAGTCAATGATTGGATAGACAAAGGTGCAAAAATACTAGAGTCAGGTTCAGGATGAAATTGTTGTGTACCTCCATTGTGCAAATTACTTCCCTTTTATAGCATGCTCCCACTAGCCATTGAGGGCTATTAGCCTTCTTTCCACTCCTCACGTCAACCCTTTTCCTTAGGGATTATGTTCCACTCGACGCGAATTTCTAAGAGTTAGTTGGGCCTTAGATTTAGGGGTGCGTGTTTGACTAAGTCTACGCCCTCAAGGCGCGCTTCTTGCTTCCTTGATCTTCCTAAAATGTTTGATTGCCATTATGGTCCTAGATCTTCGTTCTGGACTCAATCTTCCAAGGCCTAAATTTCTATTCCTTCAAGTGGTAGGTCCATAACGGCCCTTGAGAGTTATTCCAACTAGGAATTCTGGTCCTATTCAAGCGCAATTTATTTCATCTCCCACACAGAGAAATATTGTATTTTTCATGAAGTTGGAATGGATTTGATCTTTGCGAGAAAAATGCATGAAGTTAGTAAAAATTGTGCTAACCCCAAATCGACAGGATCAAACAATAATTTAAACAAACAATCCAACCAAAGAGATCAAGCAACTGTGTATTTGATTCAAATTGCCTTGAAGGTTCAAGGACTTATTTGGAACAAATTACAATCGACAAGAGAAATGAAGTAAACAACGTAAACAAAGAGTGATTTCAAAATGAAACTACCAAAGTTCACAAAGTTACAAAGTACAAGTTACAGAATAAACTACCTCTAAACTGATAGAAACTACTCCTAGATACAAACTAAGTCTAAAACTAAGTGTTATTGTGTTGTTGATGTCCCTCATTCTTGTTATTCTCTTGGCTTTTATACTCCTTCATTCTTTCTTGGCCCATGATCGCATGACTCTAAACATGCAACTGCCACTACCTTAACTACTTCTGTAACTGCTCCCTCACTTTCAAGCCTTCAAACTTTATCGAGCCTTCAACTTTACTTGTCGAACCATCTCCCCTTCATGTTGCCACATGTCCCTTAACATTTTGGGCCTCCCATCGATGAAGCCCAGTGTCATGACCCAAACCTACCCTTAAAATTTTGGTTCATAACTGGCCAGTTATCACAAGACTACTTACGGCCTTATACAGAAAACAATTGGTTTTAATAATGGGGCCTTAAGCGGAAGCAAATAGTACAAATAACGTCCATTGAGCAGTGCTTAAATGATCAGTATAAACGCTCATAGACATATCCTGAGTTCTAAACATAACTTATATATGCATAGGAATCATCAACATTAAGTTTACATATTCACAAACCCATTTTAAAAAAAACAAATAGAAGACTTAACATACAACATAACACCAAAAAGACAAAGGCTTGGCATGACAGGTCCACATAGACAATTCCTGAGGCTGACTCTAAGGTTGATCTCCATGCTGATCACCTACAAACATACCACATAGGGAGTGAGTGATGCTCAATGGATAATAGTAAAGTAAAGAGAATCAAATGAATAATCTTGAATTAAAGGAAAGCATATTATATGAACACAATACGTTTCCTTTATTTTTTTTTTTCTATCCTTCATAATATATTCCATAGCCACGTTTACAGAATGACCTCCGACCCAACATATTATGAAATGGCCTTAGGCCCAACATTTTACGAAACGGCCTTAGGCCCAACATATAACATAACGGCCTTGGGCCCACATATATCACAACGGCCTCGGGCTCACATATTACACAACAACCTTGTAGCTAACTTTGTCAAGCTTTTCTCTTAGAATTTCAGCATTGTTTTTAGCTATTTTAGGGTTGTTTTAAGTTGTTCATTTCATTTATGCTTTGTATAGTATGCTTGTAGTGTAATAGTCCTTATAGGTTTGTTGTTTTAGACATTAGACACCAACCTGTTTGAATTGATAGCATTTATTTCAAGATTTCCATACTTGTGTTCACCTCTAATCACCTCTACACTCTCCCTCTTTTCTTGGCTTTTTCATTACTTCGAGAGTTGTTTCAAATAAGTATTGTTTAAGTTCAAGAAAGAGAAATCCGTGCTTAATGGTTTAATCTCTTTGGAGGTTCATTACCAAAGGCATGACCTCTCTTTCATGCCCAAAACAGCCCTTTGTTTGACACTCCTCTCCATGAGTGAACTTAATCTTCATTATTGGACTAAAATGACTAATGAATGGAAATGTAATTAAAAGAGGTAATAAAATTTGGACTAAGAGGTAACAAGATAATAAAATGGTTTGGGGTTCAATCGAACGTTAATTGAACCCATTGAGTTTTGAGCCATTTCATACTCTTTTGTGATGATAATGGTTCAAAATATCAAGTCAACCATTTCCCTTGATCAATATCATGATAGGGAGAGGTTTTTGTTGGTCTTTTAGCTTCATTTATTAATCTTTTTGTCCCTTGATTCATAGACCATCATGCATGTGTTTGTGTCGATTGATGGCTTGTGAATCAAGCCTACCCCTCATTTGATCTGTTTGATGACAAGGAGAGGCAGGGTGGACAAACACCTCCTGAAAATACGAATCAAGCCTACCCCTCATTTGATCTGTTTGATGACAAGGAGAGGCAGGGTGGACAAACACCTCCTGAAAATACTCTATTTGTGCTCTAGTTCATGTATGCTATAGCAGAATAGTACCAAACATTAGTGGCTGGCTGACTACCTTACTTTACGGCCGACCACTTCTTCTAGCCGATCAGCCACCTTTTTTAGCCAGGAAGTGTCTTTTTTCCTGCAGAACAGAGTAGAGGCTGAGGTGAAAAAATAGTGCAATTTTCTGACTGCAATGAAAATACTCTATTTGTGCTCTATTTCATGTCTGCTGTAGCAGAATAGTACCAAACATTAGTGGCCGGCTGACTACCTTACTTTACGGCCGACCACTTCTTCTAGCCGATCAGCCACCTTTTTTAGCCAGGAAGTGTCTTTTTTCCTGCAGAACAGAGTAGAGGCTGAGGTGAAAAAATAGTGCAATTTTCTGACTGCAAAATAGCATCATTCTGGCAGCCAAACAGGGGCATTTTCAGGTGGCAAATCTGCATTTCATGCTTGAGCAATTCCTCCTCGTGGCTCGTTAATTAGTATCTTGT